TTGTTCGCTTTGGAAATAAAGTTTGTTTTGAAAATTGAAAGGAATTTAATGGATTCTTTATTATAAAACAAATAGAGAAGCCTTGACTGTGCTCTGTTCTGTTATAAAGCACGCAGGAAGCGGCTAGAGCACTCAAGAAGTGGGGAGAAACACTCGACTACGTCTCGTGTTTCTCCCTACACTTCTTGAGTGCTCAAGCCGCTTCCAGCGTGCTTTATAACAGAACAGAGCACAGCCAAGGCTTCTATATTTGTTAATTATAATAAAGTTCGGATATAACGCGCGCTGTCATTGGTTGAAAGAGCGTGCTCTATGAGAGTATAGAGCATAGAACTGAGCTAAAGCTGTCACGCCATCTGCCAAATTGTACCATGTTCGACCTTTTCCGGGACTTCTTTTTAGCTTTTTTCCGATAATTGAAAGTGAAATTTCGGAACAAGCGAGCCGGCAAGTAGTAACAGAAGAACCAAAGAAAGGTTTGTAAACATACCAGGCGCCGTTATTAACGTTATTAAAACGTGGGCACATACGAAAATCCTCAAAGGAAAAACAAAATAGACATTCCGAGTTTTAAAGATTTTCACGCTCAGTTAGATTGCAAGCTTACGTACGGTAATGAAAATCAAACACAGCCAACACTCGTATAGTATATAAAGTTCAGAGTTCAAAAACAGAACAGAAAAAAACAGAAATGATGAAAAATAGGCTAAACTTCAGAATACCCCGCAACTCATTTCCGCCTCACTTACATGTGTCGGGAGGCTTTGAAGATCGAGGCATAACACAATAGACGCTATTCTTAATCAATGACATGTAAATGAGTTGCGGGGTATTCTGAAGTTGCTCCGAAAAATATAACCAAACTGGCATAATTGTTAAAATTCATACTAATCATGACGGTGTCCATCGCGGCTCACTTATCATGTCGCTCTTCGAGTGAAAAAATAAGAGCTCGCTCTGATATCCTTTCCAATGTGTTGAGTGGAAAGTCACTTCAGTCACTGCAGCCGAGTTTTGCGGCGCTGTCATCCCGAGCGATCTTCATGTTCCGGTGAATTCGGCTGTCGTTCATTTAAAAAACACTCGCCTTGAACAGTTTGTTTTCTACCTTGTCATGTGAAAAAACCCGCGTGTTTTTATGAGCCATAATTCGGCTGAAGTTCACTGAACATTTCACTTCAAGATTCTGAATTAAAAACTTCAGGCAAAAGCGTTAAATTCGACCTGCCGAATTATTTTAGTTTGTAAACTATCGCAGGGTGTGAACTTTGATGGTTTTTGAACTTTGGTGGTTTGACACTTTTGACAGCTTTTGTCTTGTACAGCCAATCAGATTATTTGAACCATTCTAACAGGGATTCTGATTAGCTTATTGTAGCGTGCTCCATGAGAGTTTATACTTTTTTTGTGAGTCCTATGAGCTTATCAATTAAGCTACAATGCTTGTACTTTTTGAATTAATGAGGAAAATAAAAGCTATATTTACACAGTTGTGTTCTTACATGTACAGCGAAAAATAGATTTTGGCTGCATCAATCACGAGAGACTTATCAAAATGAGTGGTCGGTTTTAACCTTTAATAATAACAGCTTAAGTTAAATGCCAAAGGCTAGTGATATGCCCATGACCCCCCAAAAAACTGGTTTTTAATCATACTTAACAATATTGTTTATTACACTTTTTTGTTTACAGCAAATTCTGTTGACATCAAACAACACTGGAATGTAGTGAAGTGTGGGGTCTTATGAAGAATCAGAATGAGCTGGAAGGTATGAATCCTACGATAAATATTACTGAACATAGCTGACTAAATGACCATCAAATAAATGCTTACATGTGACTGGATTGGTTACGTAGGTGTCATCTAATTATCAAGAGATGGTGCCTGGAGCTGGTCAATGTTTTAAGGTGGTTTAACTTTGACCTTTCTGAATTTTCTGCAATGAAAATACTTATTTTTTTTTGTTTGGGCTTGCCTTCTGATCAGTAACTGCAAGTTATATTACTGATTAAGAATGACTTTCAACTTGGTTATGAAGCTGAGTTAGATGGTTTTTTTTAATGATCTTTTTACCAGTATAAGAGGGTTGTACATGTATTCTGTAAGTGTCTGTTAGAGAACAGAGTGATATGGTTGAATCTTCAGGCACTACATTTAATTTGCTGGTGTGTAGAACAACCTAGAACTTACTTGTTTGTTTTTCAAATACATTAGTGTCTACTCCCTGAGACTTTGAATACTCTTTTAAAACCTGCCAAGCATTGGTTGGTGGGACACTTGCCTCTTGTCTGTTGAATGGTACTCGAGAGTGACATCCATCAGCAGCTGCTAAAGGTCCCCATCCAATGTTGTGAGAACATGCAACCTCTTTTGTCACTTTGGTGTATTGTTGACCCTTTCCTCTGCTTTATTGATGATACTGAAGCATTCTACTGCTCTTTGCCTTGCAAATGATATGCGCTGAGCCAGGTGAAGGCCTACAGTTTTTTTTTTAGAGAATTTTCACATTCTTTATAAATTTTATCTTTGCTTTACAATTTTTTTCTTTGCATTAACAGGTGATTCCTTCTTTGTTAACCCAGCCTCAGGAACTGGGGATATTACTTCGCCAAAGGACTTTCCCAATCACTCCTTGCATACTTTGTCAAATTCTTTGTAGATCACTGTCCCAAAGTTTTTCACCTCCTTCTGTGTTTGTTTGGGAATCTTTTTTGCCAGCTAGTTCTTTAGTTTGACTTTTAACATTTGTAAATGGTTCCCTTTTGTTCACCACACAGCATGTATTTTTCTTATAGAAAATGCTCTCTACTGGAGTTGTTTAAACAAAGCATTAACACTGTGAAGGGTGTTAATGCAAAACGCCATCAAGTTTACAAAAGTCTCTTTGCAGGGTTGATTTACCCGGGACAGTTTGCTGCTAGCTTTCAATGGTAAATGTTTTTAGCTACTTCCTCTATTTTTCAGTGGTGACCACTGTAAAATTAGGTGATAAATGGCCTTCTAATTCTTTAGAAAAAATACTTATTAATGATAGGGAACTTTGTTTGTAGTTGATGCTGCTTTTTTCCATCTGTAAGTATTTGGAAAACTTCAAAAGGTTTGTAGAGAAAAGAAACACTTTTGCTGACATGTTGATGAAGATATTCTTTGAAATTTTCCTTGTACAGCCAATACCTCTCTTCCAGATGCCAGCTTATGCCTCTTCTGACTAATTATCATATCTTGTTATTCTTTCTTATTTTTTGACAAGAGAAATAAAAAATTGCCCCCCATAACTTAACATGAGCAAATCAGCATGTCAAACGCCATGTCAATTGGCATCATGCTTCTTCATCTTTTTAACTCATTTTTTCTTTTCTTCCTTTCCTTTTCTTTTTTTTTTTTTTTTTTTTTGCACTTCACAAAACTTGTCAGTCTGGAAATTGGTGCAATGTGTGCATGCAAATTATCTCTGCATCAAATTGGGTTGAAGGGAAGAATCTGATTTTTGAAGTTCCTTGTTGTTCACTTTTTTTTTTTTTTTTACTGCTAGCCCGAATAAAAACTCTTTTCATTACTTACAAAATGATTTTTGCAACTCCAAAGTTCGTGGAGGCAATGTGTGCAAGGGGCTTGAGCCAAATAGTGGCAAATATTGGTAACTTAAATGAAACAAACTTTAGCAATCCATGCAAGCTAGTACTGGATCATACAACGATATAAGTGAATTAGTTGTTGAATTAGTGAAAATATCTGGAATCGCTGAATGTCGAAGCCACAATTAGGAAAGGTGTTTGCATGGGTAATAAATTTAAACTGTACGTTTACTCTCAGTTTTTTGTTATTTATGGTATTGCTAAACATGCTATGCATCTGATTTAGGTAAAGTTTCTGCACAGCCCCATACTATTGTAAACAAATCTGTTTTCCAATGAAAATGTATGGTTTTTTTTCACTGTTTTCTCTATACAAGAACTGAATGCATAATGTGGGATGGGGCTGTGCGGAAATTTACCTTAGTTGGGATATTTGCTGTCACTTGTGAAAACATCGTATTGTTCTTGACTTTTAGATGTGTACTGAACCTGTAGTAACAAGTTCATGTGCTTTTGAATGAAAGTGAATTACAACCAAACTTTAATTTAATGTAGTTTTTGATCTGTCCTAGTCAGACATCACTGAGCTCAACAATAGAGAACAGTAGAAAAAAAAACCTGCAGTTTTAGTTGAAAAAGAATTTGCCCAAGCAATGTTCTTTATCCAAGTTATAATAATTATAAATATAGATGTTACAAATAGAAGTTATATGTTACATTTTGAGAGTTTAAGGGTCAAAATTACATGTACATATGGTGCAATTAAACTTTAATGCTGTCTGCTACATATAATTACGGTTAATACAGTTTTCAACATGTTGATCTGGAAAGTAACCTGATCTACAATTGGAATTGATGATGTTTGGTGCTCAAAAAATGGTCAGGACTAAAGGTATACCGCAGACTGCAGATAGATCAAACAAGTTTTCAAAATAATGAAAGCATTCAAGATTATTATTAATAACATCACTGTGCTTGAGAAGGAAAATTTGCTCTTTAAGTGGCCTATTTGATCTGATTCATAAATATAAAACAATGGGCTAATGTTTAAGAAGAAATTTCTTTTAAATTTTTCATTGCAGTCTTGTTAAAAATTATTCTTACAAACTAAGCATGCCATTTTAAATTTACAGATGCAAAAGGCACTATTAATCAATTCTTAATACAAAAATGCAATGATTGTTTAGTTTTGATGTAATGTTGCAAAAAAGGAAAAAACCCATAATACACCTTGATATGTATGCTTAAAAAATTGTTATAAATAAATTTACCCTTGGCACTGAAGTCAACAAATACATTTCTATCAAAGCAACAACTTAATTTCTAGGGAGGGTTATGAATGATTTTCTTCCTCCGTTATTCCTAACAATATGTGTTTGTTCATTTATTTTTGTCAATGTAAAGAATGTTAAAGTGCTCTTGGTATGGAAAGTGGCTGCATCAAAGATGCTCAAATCACTGCATCCTCACAATGGGATAGAAATCATGCAGCAATCCAGGGAAGATTAAACTTTAAGGCTGGTGGAGGCAAGCAAGGAGGATGGTCAGCAGGGAAGAATAATGGAAATCAATGGATACAGGTGGCTCTTGGCAGCTACACCAAATTAACAAGTATAGCAACACAAGGAAGGAATGCTAACAGCCAGTGGGTAACATACAAGCTGCAGTGTAGTGAACATGGAGTGAACTTCTACTACAATAAAGTACCAAGACAGAGTTCACCTAAGGTATGCAAATTGCCATGTGCCACATATTGAATGATTTTCAGACAAACCACAAGTCATCCTTTTGGTACGTGTAGAAAATGAACCTTCAAATGAAGGAAAATCTGTTGATGTTCATGTCATTTCCTTTCAAAATGGCTTGGGTCACAAGGAGAATACTGAATAAATAACATTCTTGAGGGTGCTATTATATACAAAGTGATGCCAAAAATGTTGGCATGTAAGTGATTATGCCGTGCAGATTAGTGCTGAGTATGCTTTATTATGTGATTGCAGGCCAAAAATTCAGCTGGCCATCACAGCCTTTTCATCCAGTAAACTTTACAAGCAGCTTGCACTTAGTGATAACCTTTTGATTGATTATCTTTTCTTTGGTGTTTTTTCTCCATCAAAGTCCCACATGACACCCCAACCTTCTGGCTAATGGATTACAACTAACCATGACTGGGTATTAATGAAAGATCCAGTGCTTTAACTTAATATCATCCTTCAAATAATTATTACTAGTGTGCACTCAGTGGTTTAAATCTCCAAAATAAAAAAGGGAATTTTTTTTCTTTGCTTGTGTTGGAGAAGTCTTTAACCTTTAAACCCCTTAGAGTGACTGGCATCTAGTTTCTCCTTTCGATATCAGTTCTGGATCACACACTAAGGTCATGGGAATAAAGGAAATGATCACCAAGTAAAGTAGATTTAGACAAATTCTCCTTGTCAGCACCTTTGGAAAAGTATAGCAAACAGTAAGCAGAATATGCATACTTATTGTTAGGGTGTAAATTAAAGATTAAGTTAATATATCTTAAACTCTCATTTTTTAACTTTGTTTAAGCAACACTTAATTAGACAGAATAATGATAATTGCAATGATGTTATTGTCACGGGAATCACTAATCTTACTAGATTTTGTATATTGATCATTTAAGGTTTTTAAAGGAAATAAAGACAAGGATAGTATTGTGTACCATGAAATAACCCCACAAATCCAAGCCTGTTATATCAGACTCAGACCCACAGCATGGTATGGTCATATGCCATTAAGGATGGAGCTGTATGGATGTTTAGGTATGGTAAACATTACTCTGAGTTATTAATTAACATTAACTCACGCTTTGAGTACCTGCTCACCCATGTATATTGTCAATTCACAAACAGATCTGTTGATTATTTTCAAATATTGAGAGATAGTGGGTTAACACGTCATAAATATTATCGAGGGGTTGCAATTGGGTGCAACAAAGAAGTTCTAATTTTGGGGAATTTTTGCAGGTAGAATTGGGGAGAAAGGATGTTGATGTGCAGTTGATTGACAAAAGATGTGCAAGAAGCAATTGATTTTGATGGACCAAACATTTGGTTCTTGTAAATAAGCGTTTAGTAGCAAACATTTCATTTTTCACATAATGTGGTAAATTTTGTCACTCACACCATGGTGAAAATCCTGTTATAGGGATAACATGACCATATCTCTCACTTGTGGTGTTTCTCATCTTTTAGGTTTAAGTTATTTAAGAACTAGTATTTCACACCAATTTTACAGTATTCACAAAAGTGAAAAGTTTAAATGAAGATAAAACAGTTTGAGGTTCAATTTTCTTAGCTATTCTATGCTAATTTGCTCTAGAACAAGTTTCAACTGGTTAGTTTGACCTGAAAACAACCAGTTTTCCAAATTTTTTTCTAAATTGATTTACCAAAAGCATTATAATTTGCCAAACTGTCTGTCTTGTTTAATACTACAATCATAAAGTTTTTATTGCACATCATTAATTGTTTGCAAAAACACCTGTCTAATCCAATGATGAAAATGCAATTAGCTTATAACTAATATGCTATAAAATGCATAACTTGCACCATCTTGGTTTCCCTTGAACTTATTTGGCACTGAAAAATGGAAGGGTGCGACACATTTTTTATTATAAGCATTATATTGCTGAAATACGGATATGGCAAGAAACTCTAGATTGTTAGATGCTACATTATGACATATGTAGAAAATTTCTTCTCAATCCAAATTTTGTCTGACTTTTAAATTTTCAATAGAACTGTATGTACCTACCCACAAACATACCTACATGCCTCAGTACATAAAACATATACACATAAACTGTTCTTTTACCTTCTGTATTTCTGTAAAGAATGTTCAGCACCTCTTGGTTTGGAGAGTCCACGCATTAAAGATGCTCAAGTCACTGCATCTTCACAATGGGATAGAAATCATGCAGCAATCCAGGGAAGATTAAACTTTAAGGCTGGTGGAGGTAAACAAGGAGGATGGTCAGCTCGATGGAATAATGGAAATCAATGGATACAGGTGGCTCTTGGCAGTTACACCAAATTAACAAGTATAGCAACACAGGGAAGGAATGCTCACAGCTAGTGGGTAACAGCATACAAGCTGCAGTACAGTGAAGATGGAGTGACCTTCTACTACTACAGAGTACCAGAACAGAGTTCACCTAAGGTAAATGTAGAAGCAGTTACTTGGTTTAAAACTGTTAGTTTTTTTTTACTTGCACTTGCAACATGATACAATAATTTTAAATGTAATTTGAAACTTCCTTTTAAAATAGCATGACTGTGGTAACTGGTTATTAATTTTACTTGCATGTATTTGTAGATATTCAAAGGAAATAAAGACACTGGGAAAGCATTGTTTATCACCAGTTAAACCCACCCATCAAAGCTCGCTACATCAAACTTCAAACAACAGCATGGTATGGTCATATATCACTAAGGATGGAGCTGTATGGTTGCTCAGCAGGTATGATTGTTGTCTTACATGAAATTATTTGGCACTGAAAATAGCAAGGGTGAAACACATGTTTTGACTATTAAAGCAGTATAATGCTGAAATATGGATATGGCAAGAAACTCTAGATTGTTAGATGCTACATTATGACATACATAGAAAATTTCTTCTTCAACCAAATTTTGTCTAATTCATAAATTTTCAATAGAACTGTATGTACCTACCCACAAACATACCTCAGTACATAAACACATACACGTAAACTGTTCTTTTACCTTCTGTATTTCTGTAAAGAATGTTCGGCACCTCTTGGTTTGAAGAGTCCACGCATTAAAGACGCTCAAGTCACTGCATCTTCACAATGGGATGGAAATCATGCAGCAATCCAGGGAAGATTGAACTTTAAGGCTGGTAGAGGTAAACAGGGAGGATGGTCAGCTCGGTGGGATAATGAAAATCAGTGGATACAGGTGACTCTTGGCAGTTAATTTAGTGTTAACAACTGGGTTGAAAACGTAAATTAGCCTCCGTAAAGGGTAAAAAAGCTGACGTTTCGAGCGTTAGCCCTTCGTCAGAGCGATGGAGTTACACCAAATTAACAAGTATAGCAACACAAGGAATGTTCACAGCCAGTGGGTAACAGCGTACAAGCTGCAGTACAGTGAAGATGGAGTGAACTTCTACTACTACAAAGTACCGGGACAGAGTTCACCTAAGGTAAATGTAGAAGCAGTTACTTGGTTTAAAACTGTTAAAAACATATCCATATGTCTGCACAGTATAGAGGTAACAGTTATAATATGTTGCAAGTAGTCATTAATTAACTCATCTGCAAATACCAAGAGGCTAAGCCCCTGATCATACATTCTAGTGTGGAAAAAGTTAATTATGCTACATATCTAGGCTGGCATTCAAAATTGGAGTTGGTTTTTACTTTCTCTTGCAAATTTACAGCAATTGCAATCAACACGTTATAATTTTAAATGTAAGTTGAAACTAACTTTTACAATGGCATAACTGTGGTAACTGATTATTAATTTTACATGCATGTATTTGTAGGTATTCAAAGGAAATAAAGACAGCAACAGCATTGTTTATCACCAGTTAAACCCACCCATCAAAGCTCGCTACATCAAACTTCAACCAACAGCATGGCACGGTCATATATCACTAAGGATGGGGCTGTTTGGTTGCTCAGCAGGTACGATTGTTGTCTTGCATGAACTTATTTGGCACTGAAAATTGGAAGGGTGAAACTTACATGTTTTTACTACCAGTGTAATGCTGAAATATGGATTCTGGAGGAAACGGTAAATTATAAAATGTTATAACTTTTTTTCGGTTACTTAATGTTGCTGTTTAGCTTTAGTGGAGATTCCAGAATGTCTTCCTTTTGTGGCGTGTCAGTTAGTCTTGAGCTGGCTGAGCAGCATGTTGTAGGAAATTTATTACGGGATGAGAAAAGCCTTTAGTCTTCTCACCCGCTGGTTCTTTTCCCTCAAATTCAAGGACTTTAATGTTGTCAAAAATTTTGGCCAGGAGGTGGAGTTTTGAGGCAGTCATTACTCTGACATATACCTTGTGGAGAATTTGGTCAGCAAGAATGCCCTTGCAAACACGCCCACTCTGTCGGTCAAAGAAAAGCTGGCTTTGCCCCCAAAGGGGGAGGATCTCAATAAAGGCATTGATCTGTCTTACAGCAAAGTACCGGGCTCAGATGGCATTCCTGTGGAGGTTTTGCCGTATGCGAAATCAGCACTCTCTTGTCACCCGCTCTTACGCCGATGCTGGGAGTGGGTATGGGATTAGATGGGCTGGGCTGGGCTGGGCTGGGCTGGGCTGGGCTGGGCTGGGCTGGGTTGCTTAACCTTGCACGCACAAGAACCAAAAACAAAGTGTAGTGAGTCGTGGGCCGGGTTGTTCAAAGCTGGGTTAAGATAACCCAGGGTTAGTTAGAAATCTGATTTTAAATCTGAAAGCTTTAAAAGAAAATTCATTATAATTTTATTTGTGTACAAATTTAGGATAGGATGCTCTAAAAAGAACAGAGAAAATTGTACAAAGGGGTATTTGAACAAAGTAATTGAGATACCTAGATTAAAATTTAACCCTGGCTGGGTTCGTGCTAATCGGCCTTGGAACAGCTGGGCTCTAATCTATGAGATTCTATTGTCTGGTGGTGCCGCTTCGATGTCCCACATTTAGGTGGGCCTTTAGTTTCCATCATTTCCATTACTCCCGCGTTTTGACTTTTTCTACGAATAAAATTCGCCTTAAGCTACCTTGAACTTAGCCCAATCGCGTGTTAATTCCTTTTATCAACAAAGGGCAAAATTACTGAGCGCTGATTGGTTGAGAGAGAGGGCATTTTTTCTTAATCGAGGGCATTTTTAGTAATCAAGAGAGGGCATGATTACCTGTTAATGATTGGCTAATCCGTTGCATAGCAACGGTTCGCTATCTTGAAATTTGTTAAAAATAGAATGCGCGCGTGATTTTCCTTCGTATAAATTTTGCCCTTTATTGATAAACAAGTAATTGGAAAATTTTGAAAACTCTCGTGCAATTAATCCTTAATAGTACTTGGCCTCATGTGATTACCTATACTTAAAACAACCTGCATTTTATTACGTATTTTTTCACACAGAGGGCAAAGTCTAGATGGGCAACAACCAATCAAGGAGCCCTCTTTGAAATATTATTGTTTTCTCTTGTTCAGTGTATTTTCACTTGTTCGAGATCGCAATATATCTTTGCCCATGGTCTAATAAAGGAACAACAGAGTTTCAATTTGCTTTTCGTTGAAAAATTACGCGGAATTTTGTTTTTAAGGCAACTTACTATGGATGAATGATTTTGATTTTCTCTCTGTTAGAGGAACGCTGGTAAGCGTAGTCTCTTTCGCAACCGTTATTTGGTCTCGTCACGCAACGCACTCCCTCTCCAACGGGAAATGGAGGGCGTTGTGTGACGACCAAACAACGGCGGCGAAGTAGACAATAGTAAGCATGGCGACGATTTCATTTTTACTTAAAAATATTTAGATAATAGACCACAAAATATATGTGAGAGTTCATTTAAATTAGGTTTTCCTATCTTTCTCTTAAGGCGAAGTAATGCGTTATTTTCGTTCTTTTGAAAGTTTTCTTGCTCTTTTCAGTAACAAACTGTCTCGTCTCAACCCACACAGCAAACAAATGAACTCTTGCATGCTACGCATGCCCATGTTCTAATGTGTGTCAACTTACTTGTTTCGAATCAGTCATTTCAGTTTTTTTTTTTTTGGTTTATGCATATTTGCAGTCGAAACTTTATATACCATCCGATTCTAAAATTTTGTATGTCTATAATATTATACTTGTATATTTTATATTTTCACTGAAAGCTTCTGGAGTAAATGTCCTCTGCGGCGATAAAACCATGACTATTTTCATCCCAAAGACCCTCCTCCGTGGTCTTGATTTAAAGAATCTTCGACTCCTGGACACCAAATGTAAAGGCAAAGAAGGACGGACACACCTTAGCGTTACAACATCATTGACGGGCTGTAAAACTACCAGCAGGTATACACCTACAGCTATCATCTACTCCAACACATTGATAATACCCGTGGCCACTAAAAGTGCCGTGACACGCTTACATGATATAAAAGTGCAGTTCAGCTGCTATTACTCAATGCATGGTACAGTTTCATCGCTTGGTTGGACGCCAATTAAAACGACACTTGAACTCCGTGAAAAGGCCAAAGGGAACTTGACACTGTCGTTGAGAATGTTTCATAACAAGACATTTGTGAATCCTTACACGAAAGATGATTTCTCTGTTGCTGTGGGGCTGCACAGACGATTGTTCTTAGAGGTATCCGTGGCAACAGATGAGAAAAAGCTGTCAATCAGAGCTGATCGATGTTATGCCACGCCCACCCAGGATCAAAAGAATTCTCTGAAATATGAATTTATAAAGAAAGGGTATGTCTAGTAGTAACTGTCTTGGACACTTGATTTCTACTCCTTTTGCAAAATCACACCTGGTTTATTTTGCGGTCACTTGAGACGTTTTCCTAGGCAACTAGTGGTTGGTGATATGTAAGTAAAATTGGATACACTCCGCTCTCTTGAATTCCCTGATCATCAACAACATAAGTTTTAAAAAAAACTTTTGTTAAGGATATTCGTAGGTATAATTTCACCTTGATCAAGGAAATTTGCTTCACTTTAGCTGCCCAAGTGATGTAACAGTGAAATATCATTCATCGCCTTCTTCTCGTGCTCAGCGGTTCAGCGTGGAAGCCTTTAAGTTCATTAGTGCTCGTCCCTTTGTTTTCGTCCACTGCCAAGTGCCTGTATGCAATGCAACCAACTCCGGCTCCAAATGCTCGATGAAATGTCCTTCAAGTGGCCGAGGGAAACGTGAGCTGAGTGATGACGTGACTTACGACGTGTACTCTTTAGTCCAGGGACCCCTGCACCTGACGCAAGAGAAAAGAAAGGAGAACCGCGGGAGAATTCTGGGTGAGACTGGTACGTAGATGAGCTGTTTCCGGGGACACATATTAGGGATGCATCCTGAGGATAAATTCTATCCCCGGTCCCCAGTACCCCATGGACCCCTCTTGAAAGGCCCCTCAAGATTTTTGAGTTGTAAAAAATATCTCTGATAACTTTCCCCATTCCCAAAATGATTCACCCTTGTTTGTTTGTATATTTTTTTCCCGACCTAATTACAAACTTATTGTTACGACATCTTAAACCAGCATGTTACAGTATGACGCTTCGCAAGTGAGGATTTTTCAACTTTGCAGTGAAATTTATTTGGAATTAAGTCTATATTCCCCCTTTTCTGTGACGTCCCTAGGTTCCAGTCCTCACATTCCGGAGGCTCTGTCCGCTGACAATCATCACAAGTAGCTTCAAACTCATTTACACTTGGACTTGACCTGGACTTGAACCACTGAAGGATGTTTGAGCTGGATATTCGTGTAAAGGGTGTTTCACAAGTTCGTGCCCATTTTTCTAAAAGGCTATATCTTACTTATTTTTGCATTCTTTAAACAAATTACCTAATTTTGCTTACTTTTACAAAGTTTTATAGTCATCCAAAAGTTGAAGGGGAAAAAAACATATTTAAAATAATTTTCCGGCATCACAGAAATAATTTCTGTGATGGCTAACCGACTAATAAAAAGCACTCTCTTTTCACGTAATTGTTTTTTTCTTTTTCGTAATTTTTACATCGCTATCGATCCGGAACAAATAAGAAATATATTTTTCTTTTTTGATGTTTTTATTATTATTATTATTATTATTATTATCATCATTATTATTATTATTATTATTTCAAGGCAGCTAAAGAAACGTATTAATCCTTAAAATCCTGTTATCTCTTCTACTTCTCCAGCTCAAGCATACCTCTTATATTTAGACGCTGAATAATCTCAAAAACTGTCGAAAAAAATATGCGGAACAGCGACAACAGCAAACAAACAATTGTAACTTACAAATAGTTTTGATATTTAAGTTCGGTTCTTGAGGTTACTCACTGATCTAACTCAAACAGGACTGTCGAAAAGATTTGATTTATGTAAGGGTGCCTGCGCCTATATTTTTCTCATTTTGTAGTACGGAATGACAGAACTGGCTCTTCAATCAGCTGTTAGTCGAAAAGGGATTATTACTGAAGAGATTTTAAACCTGTCTTTAGTAAGACTGAATAACCACTGAATGCTAGTTTGCCGAGTTATAGAAAAACTCAGCAGCACTTTTCTAGGAAATGAAGATGGTTTAGGATTGGCCATCCTTAGAGGCATTGCAGGTGATCAAGTTAAGAATTAGTAGTATGACATCTTACTAATGAGCCAGCAGCTTTAAACGTTAATGATGCCGCATATAGTACTGTGATGGGACGGCAAGCAGAAGGTTATTGGACACGAAGAATTAGAACTTTCCTATAAAGGCGCTAGCACAAGACGATAATCCAAAATTGATTGAAGCTTCTGTTTTTGCCAGTCTTTGAAAATTGAAAAATAACTGCATTAAGCTTTTGAGGTACGGGATATTGAATCGAGGTTTTAAGTTTTACGGTAGTGATGAAGAGTTATTAAGGAACATCAGCTGGTTGATAGAGCCTTTTTCTCAAGTTTAATATTTTATTTTAAAGAAATGGTGAAGGGAAATGATGTGGGTATTAACTTACACATAAAAACAGACAGTGCTCTTACATACACGAGTGATTGGATGTTACGAGAGCATGAGGTTGACCATAATGGATAAGATGTTTTCATCTCGGAAACTCTCTGCTCAAGATATTTTTGATGTGGTGTTCAGTTAATACTTAGGTATCCTGCTAGGGAGCTGTTGCTTGAAAGTAAAATAAATTGAAGAAACAGAATTTTGCCCTCATTTATTAGATCACACTCAAGACGTAAAATGACTCGTTGAGCCTTTGGGAAAAAAAAAGCGGGAAAGGTTGAATCATTACCTTCGTCATTGTCGTTATCATTTGTAAATCATTTGAGCTTTTCTCGTAATTGGAATATGTTTCTTAACATACAATAGAGATGTTATCTCGCCAGCTTTAGGTTCAGCAATCATCAGCCTCATTTCCTTGTTTACCTACTCACTTAGTTTTCCACTTAGTTAAGGAGTCTCCAACGTTGCCCAAATCAGAGTGGCAGTCAAGTATTTGCACAACGTATTCGTAATGTTATAAGTGATCCTTGGGAGAGATTTGTCATCTACTTTTTCCCTTCCTTGTGGACTTTTAAAGTCATAGAAATCGTTCACTAGGCTTTGTATCGTGATAGCACGGTGCCGTTCATAGCTGAAAGATGTTTTGTGACGTGTCTTTAAATTTTGAGCTGTTCAAAAACTGCAAATTATGGAAAGATTGTCAGAACGGACTTACAGTTAAAACCTACTATTTTAGCGTACGTCTCTTAAATTGTTGATAAGTCAGGTAACTTTCGAAACACTGCGAATTGCAGAACGTGATCAAACTGTAGTTTTGAGTACTCCATTTCAGTCTAATTTTCTTTCACCCAAGATCCTGTGAGCCATTTGTGGGAAATAACGCCGGGGGGTGGGTGCACGCCTTCGCTTCGCTCACTGCTCACGCTTTAAATGGGAAATGAACGTTAGCTCTTTATCAATTGTTCCCGAAATGCATCATCAGAAGTGTTTTCATCTAATCGTTTACCCGTTTCGTAATTATTTGGTTTACTGACAATCCCATTCCTTGCAATTGAAAACTTTATTCTACGGCCCCCTTATAGGCATTCACGCTAAACGGAACTTTTTTTACATTTCCATTTGTAACCTACATTTTATTCACTTGTGCTATAAGATTCTTGCTCTTCCTATCATCTTTACCTCTTTCCCTTTATCAAAGGTGCTACTTGCTACCCACAATAGATTGCCGGTATCTGATGAAAAGTCAGACGAACGGGATTCGAAGCCGTTTATCCTAACAAATTCTTGTTCCTCCGCATTTTTTGAGAAAACTCGGCGGCGTTCTCTGAAATCGTTCTCTGCAATCAGAACGACCTCGCACACGCGTTAGAAGAATAAAAATCTTTTGTCTACATATAATGATCCCGTAGCCATATCGCTTGTCATGCATACATTCCTAAAACAGTACAAAGATTTTAATGTGAGTTCGTTGACCGCCCCTACACTATTAAGAGCTTCTTCTAAAGGAAATTCTGTCTTATCCGGAAGAAAAAACGGATCGTTGATTAAGTGATGGAGAAACTTAGCTGAAAAGGAGTTATATTGAAATCTCAACAATGTCCAGGAGAATTCATCCCCACGATTTTTCTTCGCAAAAGGAGGACAGGAGGATATGGAGTTAACCTCAATTTGAAGAACCTAAGTTAATTTATTAGTAACCATCATTTCAAAAAAAGAACAGAATATAGCGTCATCCATAATTTGAAGAACTTCAATCCATGTATCAGTAAACAATCATTTCAAATTAGAAAGCTTGACTTCAGCGATCTGTCTTATGACACGTGGGTGTTAGACGACATCTGAAGATTTACGAGATTCCTCTTACTTTGTCCCAGTTGACAAGAACTGCGGAAAATATTTAAAGTTCTCTTGGAAGGGGGATTATTTTAGTTTACCTGCCTTCCCAACGGTCTGGAATCTGCTCTACGACTTTTTTGCCAAACTTCCTAACCTTTCACATTAGTATGCAAATTTTCCTCACTGTTCTTTATACATTTCCTAATGTGCTGACAAGGAGAATTTGTTTGCTAATCAAAAGATTCCTTCCTTGGAGACCATTTCCTTTATTCTCAAGACCTTAATGTGTGATTCAGGGGTGATACTGTAAAGATAAATTTGATGCTAGTTACTCTGAGGGTATAAAGGTTTAAACCTGTTTATTCTATAAGACTGGGGAGGGAAAGAAACTTGTACCAAGGGGGCGGTCGATGGTCAAAAATAAGAAGAGGGTCGGGGTGGAAGAGTGAAGATTTCCCCACCCCCCTCCCTGCATCAAACAAAACATGGCCGGTTGAATAAACGATCGCGAGCTAGTTAACGTTAACTCGCCCTCATAGGACGCCTGCAGTAAAGGCTACCCCTATTCTGCTTTAGTGATAGAACTGTTGAGATCTTTCTCACTTAAAGCCTCATTGCAAAAACAGTGGTCTTCGTCTCAGTCTTTCATTTATATTATGTCTACGTGAGTGCACAGTTCCTTCAAACGAATGATCTCGTCATAAATGAGACCCTCTACAGGAAAACAGAGAATAAGGTGAACGCAAGGCAGCGATTGCTAGGCTGGTCGCTCTAGTCAGGAAGGATCAAGAGACAACAAGTCCTTTTCCAGTCTTCTTGGTTCTCTTCAAATAAAATCATTAAAGCTTTGTTTTGCTCATTCTGCTTTTTCGAAAAAAAAAAGAAATATCGGTAAGCGCCCTGTCCTTGATAAGCGCCCTGTCCCTAATTACCGCCTTCCCTCGAATGAGCGCCCTCCTTTGAGGTGGGATGAAAAAGTAAATAAGCGCGTTTGAGCGCTAAATCGAATCATTACGGTGAATGCCGCGGCTGAAATTATACAGGGTCTATGAACACGCTTATTAAAACATCAGATCATACAAATACACCCAAAGAAAATTATCTATCAGCCCTTTCACTAACAGAAGGGAATCACATTCAGCTTCTCCTTACAATAACCTCACGTCATCCGACAAAAATGTGTAATGAGAAAAGACAAATATATCCGCTACATGCTAGTTTTACCTCGGTATAAGAAAATGATTGGCAGCTAAAATCGTGAATTAATAATCACATCTTGGAAAAAAATATACTTACAATCATGAGGTTGAGGGTCATTGATGATTAGCCTAGAACCATGAATGAGATAGTTACAAAAGAAAAAAATTCCTAAATTGATATGCTTTGTTCACCAAGAAAAACCGAAACTACATTACATTCGTTTGAGTATGTTTCAGTGTCTAAAAAGAAATAAAGTGAAAAACTTGACTGAGTGGCATAAAAACATCGCCAACAAGGTATATGATTCTGTGTCTTACCTAAAACGTATTATGTGTGAAACTGTTTTATAATTAATTTCGTAAGGAAAAAAAGAAAACACACATAGAAAACAATCCAGAAAAAAAACGAAATCAGATCATACACTTTGCAGTAGACCTCTCCTGAAAATAGAATTGTTCAAAACCTTACGCCCAAACCAAGAGAAAGTAAGGGGGTTATTTTCTCAGGCCTGAGTTGAATCCGCAAATGAATGTGGAAACAAGTCAAGAACATTTGCATCTGTTTTATAGAACAATCAATCGATATCCTATTTTATAATCCATGACACCGGACTCTAGCTTGACATATGAAGGTCCTAAAGCTGCAATGCGTCCTTCAGTACCCACTGCAATCTTATCCAGGAAATAGCCACTTTTGTAGATAAAAACGCTTCGTACAAACTCACCATCTTTGGTGTATATTCCAATACAGAGGAGCTCTTTTTCATCGTCAGTACTAACCAAGACGACTTGTTAACTTTCCCTGTGAAATGCAATGTTTGGAAAGTGAACAAACCCTTTGAGATCAAACTTACTTAGATGATCACCGAGTTCGCTAAATATGTGTACACAGTGGGAAGGCGTTTGGTCCACCACCATAACTCTGCCATCACTTACAGTGCTGATGTCTCGCGGGCTCTTCAAATTTTGTTCTCCAAAACTGCAAACAAACTGGCCATCAGTCTCGTATAGATCCACAAAATGATAGTCCTTTGTATAATTGCCTTTCAATACCATCACTTTGCCTCTATCACTAACTGACAGTTTACACAGATTACACTCGAGGTCCATTGTCCTCTCGCGAAACTTGTGATACTGGTCAGCGGATTTATCAAACTTAAAAATCCAACGCTGATGATTCTTTTCTTCAACCAGCACATAAATGTTGTCGTTTATATCTGTCGCCAGTTTAACCTTCCAGTTTTCTGTAGATAGCTCTTTACCATTGTCATCAATAAGAGGAGGAAGTCTGAAACACTTCGCAAATTTGCCACTATTGTCAAACACCTTGATTGTCAAGTCATAGTCGGCTACAATATATTGCCCGCTTGAGTTGGTAGCGAAACAGTGAAAGAGGCAGGTCAAAATCGTTACCAGCTTTTAAGTATGTCTAAGAATAATAACAGTCCATCAGAAGCTTTAAATAGTCACAACAGAAATAAACGGTTTTAAACATAATCACTGATTAGAAACTCAATATATGTGAATGCTCACATGATGACAATGCATAACTGTGCCGTGACTCAAAAGATGAACTCAAACTGATAAACAACACAAAAAAATCAGTATGATCATTCAATAATAATTCATTCTTCTTTATCAATTCAGAATTGTTTTAAAAGGATAACGAAAGACTTGTCTTTATCATAAATTAGAGATGACAGAAAATTATGAGGGGGTAATTCACTATTGTGTTACTGCATGTATTTCTCGTTGGACTAAGCCTTCACCAAAGATGTCAAAGCGGAGGAACGGGGAAAGTGCGGTTTTTGTCAGAAACTCTTAAATAACTTGCTACATTACTTTGTGTTCATTCAGTTTACTGATTTTCACTTGCCAAGGTTTAACTTCTGTGTCTTCAGTGCCACGAATTAATCTGTCCAAAAATAAACAATCTTCAACCTGTTTGGGTCACCGAGTGATAATCTGTTGAACTCACCGACATTTTTAAGATTATTTAAAAGTTTTTTTTTCGCCCTAACGTTCAACTTACAGTTTTGACAGCAAGAAAACGAAAAGGTTAATTAAACCGAAAGGCTACCTTTAATTTCATAGCCTTTCCCAAGTTCAAATAAATTTAATTATTTCCCGTCTCTCGCACTGTGTGAGGGCTTTAAGAAAGTATTGGGGATGGGTATATTTAAGATAACGACTGGGACGATGAAATGAACAAGACAATGGGGTCATGTAATCACGAGGTTGATCTACTGCTCGACGAAAGACTCAATAATAAATAGGCCAAGTTATTTCCATTCTCTACTCGCTTATCTTTCCGGCGAAACGAATTGTGTCGAGCTCAGCGCTGAGTAAAAATGGCACGCAAGCGAGTGAAATAGATCTCCGTTTAAGCGAGTTAAATGATACAGTAGCCGTGTCTGAAATTTTCTTTTCATTAACCGGGCTTTCGTACTTTTCTCGCCCTGCCATCAAGCCGCAAGCCTTTAAGCGAAATTTGGAAACAAATCAACATGCGCTCACAAATTTTCATTAATAGTAGGCCCTTTGAATTGGCGGTAAAACTAAAACAATACGATCAAAACAATTTTTAACGGTCTATCAGCGCTTAAACTGAACGCTCAAAAACGCAAACGGTTCAACAGTGGACGTGTAGTGATATGAATCATTTGTTAGAGTCAGCTTTCATATGGCTCACGACTAAGAGCAAAAATTTAACATGATGGGAAAACAATTTGTTAAATCAATAGTCCTTTTTATCAAACTGAGGACGGGAGTAATACGAAAAAAGGGCGGAAGTTGGGAAGCAAAGGGCTGCAAAAGTACGGGAGGTGTGAGAACGTGGTACGGGAAGTTGGAGGCTGTGGGGCAAGAGTTGTACTCGAAATTCAACGAAATCATACAAAAAAAAAAAAAGAACGAAAGGGGTCGAAAACAAGAAAAAATTCAGCAAGTGGTAAATTTTGCCAGTATTGACTATATTTCAGCTTTCACTAGATACAAAAAAATTACGTTTTTCATTAGCGGGCAAGAGTTCCATCTTGCCCGCTTGAGTAGCCAAGCAGAGCAAAGGACTCGCATTATCTCATCCACATGCTCTGCTAGGTATGAATTAATTAGCATTTACTGACAAGTTTGATTTGATCTCCAAGGATCATTATACTAATTTTTTACCATCCAACGCGACAAAGTTCACTGCAGAAATTGGTCTTGTTTGAAAATTGACACGCAGAAAACAACAGCCAAATACAATACTAAATTTGATTAATGAAACATTCGACAGGAAAAGCACAAGTGTTCAAAACTACTTAAGCAAACACTGGGCCTATCACAGCAGTAACTGTCCAAGCATTATGCTTAAAAGACAGATAAGGCTAACGTTAAGATTATCGAAAAAGAGGAACACCACGATTAAAATGTAAAATGACGCATATACATGTGAGAGAGACTGGATATCAACCCCTTTCACACACACAAGAGAATCACATTCAACTTCTCCTTACAATATCCATACATTATCCAGTAAACAGGTAATGAGAATAAACAAATATCTCAGTTTATTGCTGTGTCAGATGTGTCACCTTGCCATGACATAAAAAAAAATATTTCCTCTCAGTAAAAGGAGATGTATGGCAGTTACCATGTGCAATTTTATTAATACATCTTAAGAAGTGAGGACCACAAGGCTGATTGCCAAAAAAGCATCATATCTCAAGCTAAGCCTAGAGCCACCAATAAAGTTCCTACATGATCTATGATGTAATGCTTATTTTCCAGGAAAATTTCAAAACCGCATTGCATTTGTTCAATTAAATTCCAACGCATCAAAAGTTAATAAATTGAGGCTATGAAAGCTTTCATTTTGGGCATGAAACTTTAGTCTCAAGTTACATCATGGCGTGCGAAAAATAAAGGCATTGTGCTTATTATGATAATTGTATGATTATTGCTGCAAAGTACCAATCCATCCTTAAAAATGATTAGTCTGTAAACTAAACGTGATTTTTAAATAATGCAGGTAATTTAGTGTTAACAACTGGGTTGAAAACGTAAATTAGCCACCGTAAAGGGTAAAAAAGCTGACGTTTCGAGCGTTAGCCCTTCGTCAGAGCAATTTCGTTTTCAACCCAGTTGTTAACACTAAATTACCTGCTATACTCTCCCACCGACGCAGCACCACAGTTTCTTTAGAAACTTACCCCTTTATTCATTTTAAAATAATGATTACTTTGCGTGCTGCATCTTCATGCTGGGTTAGTACTGCAATGCGTCCCTCAGTGGTCACTGCAATCCCATCCAGAATAACGGACTCTCCCATAGGGATAACAGTACTTTGCACAAACTCACCATCTTTGGTGCGTATTAGTTTAGTCAGGAGGTCTGAAATATATTCGTTAAGAGCGGCCACAATGACTTGTTGACTTCCCTTGTGAAAAGCAATTTTTGGATAGGTCGTAGACATTGGCAAATTGAACTTGTTTATATAATCACCTTGTTCGCTGAATATGTGAACACGCGACGAAGCGCATCCTTGCACCACCATAACTCTGCCGTCACTTACAGTAGTGATGTCGTACGGGCTCCTCAAGATTTGTTCTCCAAAACTGCAAACAAACTCACCATTAGTCTCATATACATTTACAATCCCAAAATTTTCTTTACAGTAACTCTTCAGTACCAGCATTTTACCACTATCACTGACTGACAATTTACATAGCTTAAAGTCGAAGCCCATCCTCCTGATTTGAAGCGTGTGATGCTGGTCAGCGGTTTTGTTAAACCTAAAAATCCAGTTTGAGTCCATACGACTCTCCTCGCTGACCAGGACATAAATGTTGTCATTCGTGTCTGTGGCCAGAGGAAACGACCAGGTTTTAATTAATAGCACCTTACCGCTGTCATCAATAAGAGGAGGAATTCTGAAACGTCTCACAAAATTGCCATTGTTGTTGAACACTTTGATTGTCAAGTCATTGCATGCTACAATATATTGCCCGCTTGAGTTGGTAGTGATACCACGCGGATTATTTAACCCGTGAACCTCTACGCCATCATGACCAAGTATCCATGATACACAACAGTTCTCCATTCCCTGTTCACCGAGTATTTCTCTTAATCTCCGATCTCGCAGCAGATCAACTCTCTCCTTTCCTGCATCAATCTCGGGCCATTGTGGCAATGATTCTTTAACGGATATTGTTTGTGTGATATCGTGGGCGAGACAATTACCAAGATATACACCGGAAATAACTTTCCAGCGTTCTTTGTTAAATAAACTCTTTACTGCCCTGATTCCTGTTTTGAGCTGTTGTTGAAGACTTTGCTGAACCACTGGCAGACCATTTAGCTTTTCAATACACACTTTACATGGTGCTACAGCATCTGCGGGATGGTCTATTGTTTCTAATGCTGTGGCCATCACTCGGTACTGCATTGCTATGATGCGGTCAGTTGTTGATAGCGCTTCATTTGGAAAATTGGATTCCACTCATTTCGAAGCTTCAACATCCCCCCCTCTCCCCGGCTGAGTAACGCACAGGCATTTGACTGTCTTCCGGGGGAGGAGAGAAATTTTGAACCCTTCCTGGGTAGAGTGAGGAACTTAAACCAGAGCTGTCATGTGAAAAAGGCATTCTTTTTTCTCCTGGTCTTTCTTAGGACACTAGTTTCGAAATTCAATACTATTTTTACATGATTTGTACGCATCTTTGCGACTAGGGGTGAGATTCTGATCGCACATTCCAGATTATTGAAGAGCTGATGTGAAGAAAACGAACCACCGTGATTCAATACAGTTAAGTTGCACGCGTTGTATCGAGAGAATGTTATTAAGGAAAGTCATGAACAAAGCCATTTTTTGATATCCAAGATTCGCAAGAAAGAAATTTGTTTCTAAATATCTCCTTGTAGTTTCAGTCAGTTTTTTTTTTATTTTTTTCTCTTATCCTCACAAGAGAAATATCCGCATGACAAAATGTGACTGTAACAAACGGAACTTTGGAAGAGATCTCTGTTGCTGTTGCTGTTGCTGAACCTTTTCCTATTCCTTAAATTTTATGATCTGCATACTAGTTTTTTCTCTGTTGTACTTTATTATCAATTTCGACTTTACTTTCTTTCCAATCTTCTTTTTTTTTTTTTTTTTCTGTTTTTTAATCTTGAAGATTCTGCACACCGATACCCGGAAAAAGACGGCCGTTTTTTTCCTTTTTCGTACTCTATTACCCTGCATCTTTGGTGCCCTAACTCTATCTTTTATTTTTGTTGTCCTGATTTCTTTCTTTATCAAATAAAAAACCTCGAGCAACTGCACGATGTAAGTCAGCTCCTTCTTGTAGGCGTAAGAATACAGCAAAGTCTGAAAGCTCTAATGAATCAGGGTAATACATAGTAACTTTCACGATTTCTCTTCATCTTTTTCTTTCATTTCTACTTCAAAACTCTAATCTTTCTTGTTCACTCTACATCCATCTCAGCCATTTCGTCCCATCTTCCTATAAATTAATCGTTAATTCACGACTGTCGATCAAAAAATTCAAATCAAACGCACGAAGTGCATTTGATTCGAATTTCTTTATCGGCCTAAGTGACAATTGTGAAAATTGTAGTTTCGTTTAGGGTGCGCAAAGCGGATCTCAATAGAAATTAGGACTATACTATACAGTTTCCTGTTCTCACAAACGCAGATGCACTTATGAAGTTTTTTGATTATTTTACCCTAACTTGTTATCAGTTGACTGTCGTTGGGTTAGGGAAGGGGTAGGTGTGCATTTTCTCCGACAGTGATTCCAAGTTCGGTTTTAAAGTCACAAAGATACTTATGTAAAGCGAAACCAATTTTTTCCAAGTTTGGTTTTTTTCTCAAATTTCTTGTAGAAAGCGCAATCTCTTTTTACTGGATACCAGCTTACTCCATAGGAAGTCACTTCGGTTTTTTTAGCTCCTCTTCACGATACGTTTGACTTGCTACAACTGAATAGCATACACTTGATTTCTACTTTGTACATAAGTTTATCTTCTACACTCAACCTGTTTAACTCTATCTTCCTTAGTTTGACTCCGTTCTCGATTTTTTTCATCCTCTCCAAACATCGTGTTTGATTTCCAGATCAGTTATTCAACTCTACGAAATCGTTCTAACCTAGCAAATTCTAACCGAACGTGCAAGATTCTAAGGGACTCTTCGCGCCGACTGACCTTACCTCAGATCAAAGAGCGTGAAGCAGCTAAAGCGATTTGTTGTACAGTTCTCTGTTTATTAGTACTAACAGCACTGATTAAAACTTCGAAGAATTAATTCGCACCGTAGAAATATTCAGTTAGCCACACATTTAGTTAGTTTACCGCTTCTACGAGCTGTTAATCAAACGAATCCACAGTCAAGGGTTACAGATCTATTTTGACCACGGTGCATAACAAACTTTTTTCGTTATCAACACAGCCACGCTCTGAAATACCTTTCATTCCAATGTTTTGTGCCATCATGATGCAAAACTCACTTTTTTGAAGACTGCCAAATATCTGCTAAGTAAAATTTAAAAACGAATAATAGGCAATGATAAATCAATCTTCTGATTTCAAAAAAAGATGAAATAAAGTGGCAATTGAACTTCATGTCAATTTTGGTCTAGACTCATACTTGTGATTTCAAGGCAAATCATGCGTATGATTTCAGACCAAATTGAATTCCACTTACTTCAATTACCATTATAAATTAAGTTATTGCGGTGATCTTGTATCTTGCGGTTTTTTCCTTTTGTTTCGTCGTCAAAGTTTTGGTGTACAGGAAAACAAATTAGTGGCGCTGCTTTTGTTTCTTGTTCAGTAGCCTGCGGTGAAATAATCAATCAGCCTTGTCGTTTGAACATTTTTATGACATTCATTTTGGTCATCGTAGCGGTTAAGGGTCCATAAGATGCTAAAGATTGAAAGTTTGAAAAGAAAATTGATGTAGCAAAACTTTCAAAGAGGTTACTGTCAACAAAATAGGGTGCCTCTTGGAAAAATCGTCTTAAGCGCGGTACTTATAAAACAAACCATGAAGAACTATATGTCACTATGGAGCTTATAAAGTATAGATTCCGAAAATAGCAAAAGTTGTCACAGTTTTTGTTTCGGTGGGCACACAACTTAAAAGCTTCCTCGATCTAAAAAGCAAAAGAAAACGGGAAACTTGAAAGAATTTTGACCAGATTTTATTGGCAGTGACCTTAAATGAAACATTCAGAAGATCGATAGTAAATCGACTTTATGTACAGTTCCTTCAAGTATATGGCATGGCGCTCTGGTCTATCCTCATTTGTGTGTGTAAATCCGGCATGCATGGATATAAAACATATTGCAGTTTCGATGTTTCGTCCATTGTTCGCGGTGCTCTGGCAGTCAGAGCTTCACAATATAAATGAATACACCCGTCGTCATACCTCAAAACTTAGTATTTCTCTTCAGTGCGTCTGAATGGAAGGCATTAAAATTATTGACTCGGTGATTGAAACACCAGTAAGTCGCTATCTTCTCTAACACTGTTTCAAAAAATCCACACAGCATCTGTGAACAAAATCGAACATGACTTCGTAATCTGAAACGTCTCCATAGTAAGGATCGTGTATTATCAACTCTCCTTTAGATCATATGTTGCAAACAGTTTTACCTCCGCCCGCGCAGTGCGGTCATTTGGTTTAAAATTTTCATTCAGATCTCGCACATTGCTCTCGTCAAAGGCCAATATTAGATACCTTTCGAAGTCAATTACATCGTAAGTCGTGAATGAGATAACATGAAACATGTATACAGTGTCAACAGTCGGAATTATCCAGCGAGCAAAGCGAGTCACGTCAAACGTCGTCCAAGGCCATATTGATCACCCTTAGTATTTTTGTAGGCAATTTAGTGCTAACAACAAGGTTAAAAACGTAAATTGGCTGACGTTTCGAGCGCTAACCCTTCGTCAGAGCGATGGACCAGGGGCTAACGCTCGAAACGTCAGCTTTTTACTCTTTACGGTGGCCAATTTACGTTTTCAACTCGGTTAACACCAAATTACCTGCTATACTCTCCCACCGACGCAGCACCACAGATTCCTTAGAAAATTACCCCCTTTTATTCAGTATTTTTGTATGTGACAATAAGAAATAAGACCACGCATCTGCAAATGCTTCTTTTTAAATCACACAATCACAAAGCTAAATGATACTGCTAGTGAATTAATGTATAAGAGAATATATGAACAACTTTTAAATCTTTCCGGAGAGGTTTCAAAAAGACCTCGACTTCTCGAAGAAATCCGAGTAGTTTTAAAATATATCTCCTAGACCAGCCGAAGAATAATGTGCAATAACGATCTATCAGCGCTTAAACTGAACGCTCAAAACTGCAAACGGTTCAACAATTTTATGAATCATTAGTTGGAGCCAACTTTTACATAGCTCACGACTAAAGCTACTACCGACAACGTGCGAAAATTAAAAGTAATGGAAAAGTAATTTGTTAAATCAATAGTCCTTTTTATCAAACTGGAGACGGGAGTAATACAAAGAGGGCGGGAGTTGGGAAACAAAGGGCCGCAAAAGAAAGGGAGGTGGGAGAACGTGGTACGGGAAGTTGGAGGCTGTGGGGCAAGAGTTGTATTCGAAGTTCATCGAAATCATACGAAAAAGAAGAACCTAAGAGAAAACAAGAACAAATTCAACAAGTGGTAAGATTTGATGATAATTGACCATATTTTAATTTCCACTAGATACAAAAAAAATTACACTTTTCATCAGCGGGCAAGATGTAACTCTTGCCCACTCGAGTAGCCAAGCAAAGCAAAGGATTCGCATCATCTCACCCACGTGCTCCGCCAGCTATAAAATAATTAGCATTAACTGACAAGTTTGATTTGATCTACAAGGATCATTATCCTAATATTTAACCATCTAACAGTTGGTCTCGTTTGAAAATCGTCATGCAGGAAACAACAGCCTAATGAAATACTAAACTTGATTAATGAAACATTCGACAAGAAAGCAGAAGTGTTCAAAACTACTTAAGCAAACATTGGGCCTATCACAGCAGTAACTTTCCACGCATTATGCTTAAAAGACGGATAAAGGCTAATGTTAAAATTATCGAAAGATAGGAACACCATGATTAAAATAAAAAATGACGCACTTACATTTAAGGGAGACTGGATATCAACACTTTCACTTACAGAAGGTAATCACATTCGACTTCTCCTTAGAATATCCATACCTTATCAAGTAAACAGGTAACAAGAACAAACAAATATCTCAGCTTATTGCTGAGTAATTATACGGACGTGTCACCTTGGCATGATATAAAAAAATTATTTCTTCGCATTACAAGGAGTTATATGGCAGTTACAATGTGGAATTTTATTAATACATCTAAAGAGGTGAGGACCACAGAGCTGGTTGCCAAATAAGCATCATATCTCTAGCTAAGCCTGGAGCCACCAATAAAGTTCCTACATGAATAATT